ACTGCTAATCAATATTTTGTGCAACCGGTACAGAGGTTTCAACATAGTTCACTTCAATGCTTGGAGCCTGACCTCAGAAAAGCTGGACTACGTTAGATCTGTTTTTGTTAACTCATTTGTTGATGTGATCTGTATCACTGAAACGTGGGCTAATCCTGGCACAGCGGACTTTTATTACAATATTAATAATTTCAATATCGTAAGACATGATCGAACGACGAAGAGAGGCGGAGGTATTGCCATATATTTTAGAGAAAATCTAAAGATCGGTGTGTTAGCGAAATCGGACAATTTAGACACGGAGTTTATTGTTGCTGAAGTGTCGGACGGTTTATCTAAAATTCTTGTATCTTGTGTATATAACCCGCACAGGAGCTATGTACTGGATTCGTTTTTCTGTAAGTTAAGTTTGTTTGCTATTGATTATGGTCGTTACATTATTTGTGGAGATTTTAATATTAATCTGCTTCTGAGCGACTCCTACACCATTAAGTTTCTTGACCACGTTTCTGTTGCGGGCCTTGAAATAGTAAATAAAACCGTACCGACCAGATATTCCAATAACTGTAATCCTATCCTATTAGACTTCTTTATCACCTCCAACTTGGCCCACATTTTAAAATTCGATCAAATAGCATTTATATCTGACCATGATTTAATCTTTTGTTCCCTAGATGTTGCCCTTCATCGTCCAAAAGTTGATGTAAAATTTACGTATCGTGATCTGAAGTCTTTTAATCCTAGTGCTTTGTACTATGATGTGTGTAATGTGTGTTGGAATGATGAGCGATTTCTTCAAAGTATCGATGAAAAACTTGATTTTTTAAATAATAATTTGAATTTGTTGTTCGACCTACATGTACCTCTATGTACTGTTTATGCTGTCAACTCCTCATGCCCCTGGTATACCAAGGATGTACGTTCGGCTATAAGAAAACGAAGCAAACTGCATGCAAAATGGAGACGAAATATGACTGACTTCTACTGGACCCAATACAAAATGGCCCGGAACGAAGCTACACATACTATTAGAAAGGCGAAAGCTTGTACTTCAATAATAAATTAAATCCTTCGCTCCCCTCCAAAGATCTTTGGCGTAATGTTAAAAACCTTAATGTGCATGGAAAAATCAAATCGAAATGTACCATTGATCCCGAGACACTAAATGATTTCTTTGTTAGTGCCTGCAATACCGTTACCCTACCTCAAATGAGGGATGTTAATCTGGGACATTCTAGTGTTGTAAAGGAATTTCAGTTTGAAGGAGTAAGTGAACTGGATGTGGTGAAAGCCATTATGAACATTAAGTCGAACGCTGTGGGAGATGATGGAATATCTCTGAAATTTATCAAAATTGCATTACCATTACCAAGTACCATTACCCATATCATTAATTTTAGCTTCACAAGTGCATCATTTCCCTCTGCATGGAAAAAAGCTACTATTATACCCGTTGCTAAAAAAAACAACTGCAGTTGATCCCAGTGATTACAGGCCAATCAGCATATTGCCTGCCTTTTCCAAGGTTTCCATGGCAGTCTCGTTTTCGAGTTCAACATAGCTGCAGCACTGCAATGTTAAAGATACTCGACGATATAAGAATAGACCTGGACCAAGGTAACATAACTCTTCTTTGCCTTTTGGACTTCTCTAAGGCTTTTGACATGGTAAATCATGATCTTCTGTGTCAGAAACTTAAGAGATTTTTCAGCTTTTCGGATAGTTCCGTTAATCTCATGACCAGCTATCTTAAGGGGAGAACTCAAAGGGTAAAAGGAGAAAGTGCTTACTCTGAGTGCAGAGCTGTTACGTCAGGTGTTCCGCAAGGATCTATCCTAGGTCCACTCTTGTTTAGTCTTTTCGTTAACGATGTGTTCTCTGTATGCCAGTATGTGAATGTTCATGCGTACGCGGACGATGTCCAACTATACTTGTCAAGTCGTATTGGTCTAATTGAAGACATGTGCTTCAAAATTAATTCTGATCTGTCCGCCATTTCTGTATGGGCACGTGATAACTGCTTACTCTTAAATGCCTCTAAATCGTATGTTTTACCGATAAGTAGTAATGCTGTGTATGTCGAGGATATTCCGAAGCTTTGGATTGGTACCACCGCTCTTTTGTTAACTGACAAAATTAAAAATCTGGGCTTTGTTGTTAATTCCAGATTAAACGCTACCGACCACATTAATAAAGTGGTAAGCGGCGTTTTTGCTACCTTACGTAGTTTGAAAATGTCTGCACCATTTACCCCTTTGGAAACGAGACGCAAGCTAGCCATTCAGCTTATCGTACCCCAGATAACATATTCCGAACTAGTATATAGTAAACTTGACTCAGGGCCTGCACATAAAATCGAGGTGGCCTTTAATAGCATCACACGCTACGTCTATGGTATTGGAAAGTACGATCACATCACTCCATGGAGAAATAAAATTCTGAGTTGCGATATCTTCGACTATATAGAGGCGAGAAACTGCATGTTTGTATTCAAGCTGCAGGAGTGGAATACACCTAAATACCTTTGTGACAAACTGATACGACCAGTGCGTAGACATCATAGCCTTATTGTTCCTAAGCACACCTATCTAACCTCATCAAGGATGTTTTTCGTTAACGCTGTGAGACTCTGGAACACGCTACCTGATTCGCTAAAGATGGAACTGAATAGAGGCAACTACAAAACAGCAATTCTTCGTTACTTCTGTGAGATGGATTAATACTGGATTAATATTCTCTGAATTATTTTGTTTTTCCTCCTCCCATGCTTTCAATCTATTAATCTTTATCCCAACTATTCTTATCCTTAAGGTTATTGTTATAACCTCTGGCTGAACTGTATTACTTAATATACAAAATTATTCATAAATTCAACAAATCATGTTACATATTTTAACTTCCAATTGTATTTGATCCATATCCATGCATGTATGTATGTATGTAGTTGATGTACTTTTAAAAGATTGTTCTTGTCTTAAGTTGTACAAATGCTTTCATCAATAAATATCACAAATATCACATCACTGAAGCGAGCTCTTACACCTTCGGCCACTCGGTGCATTACGTGCCAAAGAAGTAACGTGCAGTAACTTTGGGTAAAATACCTTCAACGCGTTTGCCCCTAGAGCATCTAGATGCAATTCTGAATCAAAAAGAAATTTTGAAAAAAATGTCGCTTACGTTTTTTTGGCGGTTAGGGCTCGATATATGACATTAAAATAATTTTCGACGAAATTAGTACCCAATAGTTGCATGAAATTATCAAATGCTCTTGCAATTGTAGAGCGATTCGTGCGTTCTAGACAAACGGTGTTTAATAAAAAATGCAATTAAATATCCTTTTTTTTGACAAAATATGCCTATATATGCATTTAAGGCAAAATATGTAAGAATATGCACCAACAAATCGATGTCATCTTAACACAAAACTCTTGATTCGCAACATTTGTTAATCTTTAAGTTCCTATCACTTACAAAAAAAAAATGTAAATGCATAGAAATCCGGGCCATATTTATAACAAAGAACTTTAATAAGTTCTATAACAATGATAAATAAATAATGAATTTCAACACGTAAAAATATTTGTCATCTAGAGGCGAGCGTCCGCTCTTGGGAGTCATCATAATATAGTTATAACTTTCGAATTACTTGCTGTTTAAACTTGAAACTTTCCCAAAAATTTCCTTAGATATTCGTCTATAATGCTGCATTAAAACCAAACATAAATATCAAACGTTATAACATAACTTTTGCATTTGTAAAAACCACCTGCAAAATTTTTATAAAAAAGTTAAAAATCCGCCATGCAGTTTTTAATTAGTATTAAGAACTGTAGTTAAACTCAGTTTCTTTAGAATAATATCTAGTGTAGTGAGTCACGGCAAAATGCAACATAAGCATTACCCGTTGACGCAGATTCCATTATCGCTGACCAAGCAGTTCAACATTGTAAACAATACAGCCTAGTGCATTGCCCGCTGCATTGAGCGACACCGCCACTGTACAAGCAGAACATTTCTGCGGCACATCATGCACTGCGTTTTAATTTGTTGCTTTGCAAATTTGGAATGCTGAATCACAAAGCACTGGAAAAGAGGTGGAGCTATGAAAGTGGCTTAGAAACTAATTTGTGTATAAATAGCATTAAGTTTGATCAATAAAATTAGAATATGAATGACAAGCTTTGACTTTCATCATTTCTCCAAATTCGGCAACTGCAAATTTACGCCGACTCCGAACGGCGATTGTATTTTTATGAGAATCTGTTTTTCATCGCAGAAATACACTCGGAGGTTTGCCATTGCCTGCCGAGGGACGACCGCTGTTCAGAAAAACCCGTTTTTCTATATATTTTGCGATGTTGCTTTGACCAGGGTTTGAACCCAGGTGCTGCGGAGTGGAAGCGCGCACTGCTTACCACTACACCAATACACCCCTCTTATAGCCCATTAAATTTTAGTCTAATAATGTGTAAGTTTTAAGGGGCTAGAAATTACCGTCGATTTTATAGAATTTTTTTGTCGCATTTGCTTTCATATAACGAATAACCACAATTTATTTTTGTATGAAAGAAACCCGCAACTTTTTTGCGACTTTTTTGAGACTTGCACGTTATTGGACTAAAATTAAATGGGCTATAAAACTGTGTACTCAAGAAATGAATGGTGAATTTTTTTGCATTTTTTTGTAGTTTTCTCCGGAGTTTTAAATTTAGGTTTATATGGCTTTTGTTGGAGAATGAACTGTATTTTAACTGTAAATTTCAAAAAAAATAAATAAATATACATATATGAGTGGCAAACAATAGGAATCACTTTAAAATAGGGGTGCTATTGTATTGGCCAATACTGTATGTAAGTAATGTTACGAATGTAGCTACTCGAATTCAATCCACTTTAACGTGTATTTTGGCAAATCGAATTTCCCTTAAGGGATTATGGAAGCGTTACTGAAATGATTTATGGGCTATTTCGTATGAAGACAAATTTAAATATAAATGCATTTAACTAACCCGATTAAATGTGTCGTTAACGGTAAACTATATTAATCGGCAAATCAAATAAAATTTTAAATTTTCTGCAATTTTGGACAAAAAAAACTCTTTCCAACTGAAATTATCCATCCCTTTATTTTGACCCATATACATATACAAAAAAAATTTATATATTTTCTTTAACTTTAATATTCCGCTTTATCAAGTGAGCGCCAATATAGCTCCTGAGGCACAAAAATCGGATTGAGCCAGTGCTCATGACATGTCAAACGGAGTGTGCCATTGAAGCAACTACCCTCAAAGTGAGCAATGCTGCAAATTTGCCAAAATGGATCAAAAGGTAGGTACTGGAAACACAAAAATGCTAGGTCTAGGTGGAGATGCATAGAATTAGAACTTCGTTGCAAATGTTGTAACAAAATAAATCAAGCAATAAAATAAATCAAGCTCTTACCCTAAAAATAAGCTGTCGACGATAGTTTGAAAAAAAAAAAACATGATGCTCATGGTGATTGCATGTCGCCGTTCGTACACTTTTTGGGATTTGATGATGCCATTAGAATATATTCTTGATAAAAAGTTGTCATGTGAACTTTGAACTGTGAAAAAATATTTTTACATACAATTTTTGATTTTTCGAAAAATCCCTCCAATTATTTATAAAATTCTGCCCTTTCCCTGCACTCGTTTTTTCGGCTAAAATACCTACGGGTAGGGAATTTTCTTTACGTAGAGCCGTCGAAACGAGCTGTCATTACGTATATCGCTTTTGATTTTAGCATAATTTAAGGGAATCACTTCATTTTAAAATAATTTTACAAAGTATTTGTAGACGCATGTAATCAAATAATCTTACCTTTTGCGCCTGGACAACGGTACGGGGAAATCCATCTAGAAGGAATCCATTTCGACATTCTGGTTTGTCCAAATTACTATCAATCATGTCTACAACTAGCTCGTCGGAAACTAGTTTGCCTTCATCCATTACCTTTTTTAACTCTTTTCCCAATATAGATCCGGAAGATATTTCTGCACGGAGCATATCACCAGTTGATAAGTGACACACGCAAAATTTTTCCTTCAATTTTGGAGCCTTAAAAATATAAAATTAAGTGTTTTAAATATAAATATGACACGTTTAAACTAAACAATTAAAATTTCACAAACCAAAATCAATGATAAAAACAAAGTAAGGTAAAACCAAGGCATATTAAATAAGGTAGAAGGGATTTTGCTATTTCTCTCTTTTGAACACCGACTATAATGTCAAATGATGAATAACTTTTAACCATTGTATGGGCTTACAAGTATGGAAGGCGCCATTTTGTTGGTTTACATTCGAAAACAGCTGAGATCACCTGATTTCTAATTCTCTCATTCTCCGTACAGAGTTACATTCAAGTTTCAGAAAAAACTTTAAAATGTAAATTGAGAAATGTTTTAGAAAAATGTGTGTTTTATTCATTTGAATTGATTAAATAAGAAATTAAAAATACATGCCCACTCTTGCTTTCCAATAATAACGATAAATGTGTATGTTCCAGGCAATAATTTAAAATATTTGTGAAACTTATCGTTTTGCGCTAAAATACAACAATGTGTGTAAAATTCGTTGTCATTGTTTCTGTTAGGAAAACAAATAAATTAAAATATATTTCTTCCCACAGCGGCATACGGACAAGTAAGATGATAAATTTGTATGATGAATATCGCGGAAAATCTTTTGCATCAAAATTTCTTTTCAAATTTGCATTTGAATTATGACATCAACAGGGATGCTTTGGGACGTATTTTATAAATATTTTTGAATTGTTGATTTATTTTAGAATTAAAAAAGTTGGTTTATATTAAAAAATATATTTAGACTACACCTTTTCCAATAGTACTTTCGAAAGTATCAGTTGGATTTTAGAAAGCATCAATTCGATTTTAGAAAGCGTCAATTCGATTTTAAAAGGTATCATATGGACTTTAGCATAGTCAAATGTTCTTTAGAAGATGTCAAAAATACTTTAGAATTATCAAATGTATTTTAGAGAGTAGCACTTAGATTTCAGAAAGCGTCAAATGTACTTTAGGTTAGTCAAATGTACTTCAGAAAGCAACAAATGTACTTTTGAAAACACCAAATGTTTTTTTGAAAAAATCAGATGAACTTTAGAAAGTGTCAAATGTACTTTCGAAAATATCAAAAGTACTTTCGACAATATCAAATCTACTTTCGACAATATCAAATCCACTTTAGAAAATATCTACTGTATGTAATATAACATAACCGAGTAACATTTAAAAAAAAATGTAAAATGTAGAATAAATATTACGAGTATTTTAAATACTCACGTGTAGTCGTTAACAATGCAAGTTCAGGATAACTGCGCATTTTGCCTCGTCTCTATGAAGCGTCGAGCATTGAAAAGGTTACAGCCATGCATACACCTATTTAATGCTGACTGTTTTGAAAATGTACCAACCGCAACAAGTTGTCCAATTTGTCGAACCGATGTAACGGGTAAGTAATGCAAAGCAATTATTTTATTTAAAAAACTATTGCATTAATGAAAATGATTCAATTTCTTTCAGTTGCCGAATCAGTTGAGCGACGTGCCAACATAAAATACTCTGCTGAAGACAGGAAGCGAATTGTGGAGGCAGCCAATAAAGGCCTTGATTGGGTGCAGCTGGCGGAGTCTTTAAATGTAAAATATAAAACGGCTTACGTATGGGTATCTTCTGGCACTCCTCAAGCACTAAGGCGAGGTGGTACAAAAGAAAGAGCGCTGACGGACAATGAAGTTGCAGTGATGGTCCAATGGATTGAGGAGGATGCCACTATGACACTCACAAAAATTCGTGAAAAAATTAAACAAACGTTTAGAAAAGATGTGTGCATTTCCAGCGTGGGAAACTATTTACAAGGACAACTTTTTACGATGAAGGGGATTCATAAGGAACCTCAATCAATGAATTCGCAGCTAAATAAGGAAAAGCGCCGCGAATACGTATGTACGTTGAATCAATATATTCAGGAAGGCAAGCAGATTTTATACATCGACGAGACAAATTTTAATTTATTTTGTCGGCGTTCACGAGGTCGTGCTAAGGTTGGAAAACGTGCGGTACAAGTTTTACCAGTGGCTAAAGGGCCAAACGTGCACCTTATTGGGGCCATTTATGCGTCTGGTGTAGTCAAAATGACTACCAGAAGAGGATCCTTCAAGTCTGAGGACGCAAACGCTTGGCTCCGCTCCGTTTTAGATAGGTGGTGCGAAATGGGTAATCAGCTTACCGATGCCATTATTGTGTGCGACAACGCGCCATGCCATTCAAAGCTACACGAGGTATGTGCAGAGTCCACTTTATTGCGGCTTGGACCATATTCTCCTATGCTTAACCCCATAGAGATAATATGGGGAAAAACTAAGGCGAATGTAAAGTCAAATATACGGACTCCAGACGTGATTGGACCGGGTGTTATTGAGCAAAGGTTGCAGTATTTAGAGGGCCTAATAAAAGACGCTGCCGCCGCTGTTAATGGTGGAGATTGCGCTAGATCGGTGCAGCACAGTACGTCGTTCCACGCTGCTGTAATTTCGCTCGACAATATGCCAGTTGGACAGTGAAAACTGTTCGTTGCATTAGATCTTTATTGTAATATAAAACTTCAATAAAAACATTACTACAACCTATATACATGTCTTAATCTTAAAAAAAAATGTTAGGTGCAATATGAACAATTTAAAGGGAGACTTAGAATATGATTCTAAAGTACATTTGATATGTTCTAAAGTACATTTGATATCTTCGAAAGTATATTTGATGTTGTCGAAAGTATATTTGATATTGTCGAAAGTATTTTTGATATTTTCGAAAGTACATTTGACACTTTCTAAAGTACATTTGATACTTTATAATGTACATTTGCTTGCTTCAAAAGTACATTTGATGTTTTCTAAAGTACTTTTGACTAATCTAAAGTTTATTTGACGCTTTCTAAGATTGAAATGATGCTTTCTAAAGTACATTTAATAAATCTACAGAACATATGACGCCTTCCAAACAACATTTGACTATTCTAAAATCCATATCATACTTTCTAAAACCGAATTGACGCTTTCTAAAATCAAACTGATACTTTCCAAAGTACTATTGGAAAAGGTGTAGAAGTATGTAATCTTCTTTTATTACGAATTGAAACGATTTTAATAAATATTCATGGTTACCATTAATAGTAGTATAACAGTTAGATCTAAATGCATATTTGACAAGAAAGATAGAATACAAGATTGCGCCGTCCTGGCCGCGATGACATATCTGTACAAAAAGTAAACAAAGTCGAATTGGATGTTGAAAGACAATATGAGAACAGCCAATTTTCTTTATAATAAATTTTTCGATAGGAAACATGTTTTAAGTGTGCTAAATTCTAATGGCCTTACTCATAAAAAATAAAGTAGCTTTAAAAAATGTTTGCAAACGTCGATTTATAAAGCTTTTTAAAAATTTTCTTTTTTATGAATAAGGCGATAAAAATATATGATTTATAATAACTTTTAATAAGGAAAATGCGAAAAAAGGAGATTTTGCGGAAGTAGGTATTAGTGAATTTCAGAGCATTTAAAGTTTCTGAGGCTTCGTTTACTTTTAGATCAGAATTGTCAAAATTGACAAATTCAAAGTAGCAGTACAAGAATCACAAGAATCATAGAAAAGAAGATTGCGCCCTGAACGTTCTGCTATCTTCTTTGGTTTCAGTTTGACAGCCAGCTGCTGTGATGATGTGAAAATTTACCGCAATGAAGAAAAATACATATAACAGTAAGTGAAAAAATTTGATGTTTACAATTTTAGTGATCAGCGGCGCGTTTCAAGAACGATATTTCAGACAAATCGTTGATGAATAACTATTTTTCCTTCCCGTCTGCTTTAGTTTTGGCAAAAAAAGATAATTAGTTCCTGCCGGCGATCAAGTCATTTCAACCACAAAATAATATTATTTGCAGGAATCATTCAGTAAAATTGTAACTAAGTTTTTATTGTTTATTAATTTGTTTGTGATATTCAGCAATAGCAAGATGAAAAAAAAAATGAGAAACCAAAATTTGTAATATTTTGATGAATGTAGTTATAAAAGTTCACAGAGGAAACGCCGCAAAATAAAGTATTGGCAACGACATAAAATGTATGGCAATTTAGATGTCAACAGAATAATAACTACGATAAAAAACGACAAAAAAGCATGAGAAGTGTGCGAAGGAGGAAATCATTTCAATTTAAGCAATAAAGCTTTAAATTCCGTTGTAAAACGGTCAACAAATTTCTTATAAAATATTTTGATTTTTGCCGGGTGTAATTGAAACCCAGTCAAATGAGTATTAAGGAAAAGAAAAATCGTCGCCTTAGAGTGTAAACCTGCTAACGACCAAAAAACATATTTTACTGTAGAGGCAAAAAACTAAATATATCTTTATCTTTTTAGTCTAAGGGGCAAATCCTACATATAGTTTGTTAATCGCGTGACGTTCTATGGCCCTAATCCAGAACGAATGAAAAAAATTACGTTTTTATGGTTTTATTGGCGAATTTCTAACTTAGCAGGTTTTAGTTTTTGCATTTTCAAAATTGAAGTGGATTTAGCAGGTTTTTTGTATGAATAAAATTGTTTCTATTTTATTTTTTTGTGATTACGAGCCCAATTTAAATGTTAATTAAAATAGGATTCCATAGATAAAAACAATCAAATATATAAAATAATACAACAGACTTATTCTTCCGTTTATTGCAACAAAAATAGGCAGTTTATAAAACATAGGCCCCTATTATGAGTTGCATTCGATTTTCGACTGTGGTCGAAAGTGGTGAGCGAACGAATTTTCATTTGGTATTATGGCGCTCATTCGATGAAGAATAGCGCTATTGTGAATTTCGCTCGTTTAGGTTGTTCACAATAGTATATTTTTCACCGCTGAGAAGCTTTGTTTACAAATCGAGCAAACTAAATAGTGTGCTTATACATATTTATGTAAATTTGTTCTAATTAAAATGAAGTAAAAAAGAAAGCAAGTTTATAAAAACGTGGTAAAATGAGTACAACGAGTTCTGGTTCAACGATTCGTCAGAGGATGAGAGCTTAGTAAACTGGCCAGGAGTAGCAAATGTTTAAGAGAGTTTAAGTTTATTAGCTTTTCGAATATATTTTGATATAAAATATATTTAAGAAATTTGTCTACGGATTCATTAAAAAGTTCCGACCATCTAAAGAGGCGTTTGTGAGCCAAATCTATTTAAAATATTTTAAAACTATCAACAGCGCTACGATTTTGTTCTCAGAGATCGTGCCAACAGAGTATTGGATTTTCTTTCACAAGTAAAACCAGCCTTTCGAGCTTGTGTTTAGTATTCACGATGTTAGAACTGCATGAAATTAATAAAAATTGTTTAAAATTAGTGTCTAGCCGCCAAAATGTAAGAAAACATATACAAAATCATACATTTTTCACAATTTTCTAACACTTCGCTACACCATCGAAAGCAAAATTCTATTCGACAGAAAATTCGATACTCAACGAAAATTTCGACACGCTTGCATAGCTCATAATACGAATTTCACTTTTGATCTTCGATCTTCGATAGCCAGCGAAGATCGAAAATCGAATGCAGCTCATAATAAGGGCCATATATTAGTAACTATACGTGAAGTATTCCTCTCTCAAATTAATAGTACAAAGTCCACATATAAGATAATTTAAGTAGGAACTCAATAATGTCAGAAAGTATAATACATGTTATTCAATCATGAGGTAAATTGTCATAGTAGGCGTGGTAATCTTCAGGAAGTAATCGTTTGAAATACTGGAGATCTCATACGTTCTGCGAGCAATCGTACGCCTACTCTCGTATAAATTCGGAAGGTGAGAAAACGGCAAGGAAACAGCTACTGGGGATTTTCTTTGCGGTATTACTTCTCATTCGTTGGAGAATCTTAGTTTGAAATGTATGTCGCCACTTGGTGTATGCCGTAGGGTACGTACATCAGTTACTTTAGCAGCACCTTTGCCGCGACCGGGACGAATTCTATTAAAGAATTGAACTGTGTTAAAGCTTTTAAAGAACGTGTAACTAAGATAAGTTACGTCATATGTTTTTGGATTTTTTCTAGCTGATCTACATACTTTAATGTATTCTGCAGGAACATGGATATCTATTTTCTTAAGTGCTCGTTCGATAGTGGAATGGATACAATCAGCTTCCATTTAGGTATGGCCTACTTCAAGAAACTTTTGCTCAATAATGATATTGTTATGTATTGCTGTGGATAAGAAAGCATTAGCCATAATACAGTTTCGGTTTTGATATGTGCATTCGTCGCTATAAAAAATTACTGTAATTGGCTCCCCGGAACTATTATTTGGTACTACATTTTTTTCTATCAAATCTACCCACACGCTGGAAAACTCTTCTGCATTTAATCTTCCTTCTGTTTAGTAACAATAATTTCCTTGAGAAATAAAAAATTATAGCTTATTTGCTGGCTATTACCTTGGCTTAAACGCATAAAGTAATACTCTAAGTTAGAATAATAATCGAGCGACAGAAGCACAATATGTTGGAATTAGCAGTTGAATTTGAACTGATTATACTTAGCAGCTTTACTCATCAAACAATTTTTGACAATTATATTTTTATATTGACGTATTTTTTTTGCTTGCCAACTGCGGAATCACCCACTCCTTCGAACTGCATCAAAAGGTCAATTTTGCCAAAAAACGTATTTAGCAGGATTACACTCTAAGCCGACGAAATAATTTGGTATTTTGCCGGATCGAGGTCAATTTTAAAATTTTTTTTATGAAAACACAAGTTTTATGGTGTTTCTTTCCGATATATTTCGATTACGCTTCGGTAACCGTCCTCAGGGCAAATTAATTTACACGTCCGCACTGATACCAATACCAAACTCCAAGTCAAACAGTCGGGTCTACGTAACCGGAACGACCCAGATTTATATCTGGCCAAGGACTGTTACTCCAGCAACACTCCCCAAAAAGTCTTTGGGGAATTTGTATGCTGCTACAACAACAACAACAACAATTACTTAAAATAGAAACAATAACAAAACAGTACAAGGCACGATAAAAATTTTATTCGTCTATATCATCAGATCAGATTCAGGTTGCGTATATTCAAAATTCTCTTCTAAAAGCATGTCTTTTACTTCTGGATCAAATGATTTTCTTATTACTATTACTGTTTGTAAAGGTCTTAATCTCGTAATATGAGGATCAGAAGAATAAAGTAGACGATGAAATAAATCTTCAAGGTTAGCTTTCCTTGAAGTTTTTCGGCTAAAACGTTCACGATACGCTTTGAAATCTTTATTTCGTGATGCGAAAAAAACATGCGGCAGTTCAGAGAAGTTTCTTCAGATGGGGGATTAATAGTGTCGAGAACTTGTTTGGCTTCACTGCGCTTTCCACTAGCTCGCAGGCTCATTTGAGCTGCGAACGTTAATTGTTCGTGGGAATAATCTTGACGAAGCTAGGCAGTTTTCCTACGTTTTGACTGGTCACTAAATTCCCCAAAGTCTTTAGTGGGCCTTCCTTCTTTAGGTATCTGATACACC